CACACACACACACACACACACACACACACACACACACACTTTTTGAAAATGGTTTTTGACTGTGAGCAGATTCTTTTAAAATCTGAGCACTCATGAATTTTTCAACACTTTCTTCTATTAAACTTTAGAATTTGCCATAATGGATGGATTACATTTGCTTAAATAAAAGATCGTAAAACTTTAGAAGGAAGTATTACAGAAATGAATGCTTGGTAAAGAGTTCACACATTTCACAAGAGAATTATGACCCATAAGAGAAAAAAATGGTTAACAGGCTGGAAAGTCCAGGCAAAGTGGTGCATGCCCAGTGCTTAGGAAGCTGAGGTAGGAGGACCTTGCATTGGAGAGCAGCCAGGACTACTTAGCAAGACAGTAAGACTTCGTTTCAAAAGAATGAAGAGGAGGAAGAAATGGCACAGAAGGAGAAGGGCATGTGGAGAAAGCAGGAAGGACAAAGAATGATAGAAAAGAAAAACAGCAGCAAGTTTGAATGGAGATAAGGCTCCATGGGCTGTTGGTGCAGCTCAGGGGTAAGCATACATGGCTTTACATTGAGGTCCTTGATTTGTTCCCTAGAATAAAAGGAAACAAAGTAGTGGGGAGAGAAAGGAGAGGGAAGCTGGAGTTGGCTTTAAAAAATAAACAAAAATTTGAAATCTTTATTGCAGTTATAATCATTCAAATCATAAATGGAAGAAGAGATGTTTCAACTAATACTAAATAAATAAATGGACAATATACTCCAACAAATTGGATAGACTTCTAGAAGCATACAAACTATTAAGACTTGATTCTGAAAAATATACACAGATGAATAATCACTTAAAATGAATAATCAAAGACATTCCAACAAAGAAAATCCATGGAACAGATGACTATAAAAATAAATTCTTTGAAGAAATCAAAGAAAAATTAAAGCTAATCCTTCTCAAATTCTTGCAGGTTTGAACAGGAGGGAATAATACCAAATACACTTCATGAGACCAGCATGACCCTCATGCCAAAGCCAGACAAGAATGCCACAAACAAGCAAAGCTTCATGAACAGAGGCAAAAAAACATCAGGGAAACATTAGCAGAATTAACAGAATTAACAGAATTCAATAGCACACTTAAAAGATTACACACCATGATCAAAACTGTATTTATGCCTTGGATACAAGGATTATTCAACAGAACTTAAATCAATAAACATTAAAATGATGAAGCATAAAAATCATGTAATCTGTAGTGATATATTATTTATCATTTATAAAAGCTTGACTGAGGATTCAGAAAAGCAAAGACAGTCATAGGCCATAGAATCCAGGCACACACCTTTAATCTCAAAAGCCAGAAGCTAGGTTGTTCACACCTTTAATCCTAGGTCTTAGGACTAAGAAATAGATCTCTGTGAGTCCAAGGCCACCCAGATCTACACAAGATTGACCCAGTCCTAAAGAGAATTATAGCTCACACCTTTAATCCCAACATTAGGGAAGCATATAAGACAGAAGCAAGGTCTCGAGAGGCATTCGTTCTCCAGCCACACTGGGGAGAGGCAGCAACTTGAGACTTGGTGAAGAGCTTGTGCGTGGATCAGCCCTTTCAGCATGAGCTAGAGTTGAGAACTAGTGGCCGGCTGCTTTGCTTTTCTGATCTTCAGCTTGAACTCCAATATCAGTCTCTGGGTCTTTTATTTTTTCATATTGCAGTAATCACCTCAATAGGTATAGAAAGAGAATTTGACAAAATTAAACAGCTTTTTGGTTAATCTTAGTTGCTAACTTGGGCTCTAGAACCATCTGGGAGACAGGTCTCTCTGCCCATGTGGTACGGGATTGTCTTGACTAGGTTGTCTTGAAGAGAACCACCCACATTGGAGGGCACTGTTCTTTGAGCTGTGTCTTCACGATGACTGCTGTATTCTCTCAAACTGAGCAAAAATAACCCTTCCTTAAGTTGCTTTTCTCAGAGTATTTTCTTACAGCAACTGGAAAAGTAACTACAGTGGAAGTAATGTGAAAGGTGACAGGACTATATACATAAAAGATCCTAAAAGCCAAGTATGGTGGGGCACACCTTTAATCCCACCACTTGGGAGGCTTTTCCAACTTATTTTGGGGACAGGCTCTGGGGGGCAGTTACCCAGCCTTACCAAATTGATGAGTTGTAGACTCAGTGAGAGAGCCTGTCCCCAAAATAAGGTGAAGAGTAATCAAGGAAGACCCTAAGCATCAATGTTGTGTGTGTGTGTGTGTGTGTGTGTGTGTGTGTGTGTGTGTGCATCTACACATACCCAAATGAACATATACTTACACCACAAACATACAAACATGCGTCCACGCAAATAAACAATGGGAAGGACTAAAGATATAGCTCAGTGGTAGAATATTTCCCTACTATATATAAAGACCTACATTATATCCCTAGTGCTGTAGATAGATAGATAAATAGATAGATAGATAGATAGATAGATAGATAGATAGATTAGAAGGAAAGACAAGAAAAAGAAAGCAAAATAATCAATAGATAAAAGAAACTAAAAGTTAAGACATACTTTGACAAGAATGAAAGAAAACCAGCACTAGCTAAAACAAATAAGATACTGTCACTGTCAAATCTATGCCTAGAAGGAAATTCATTGCCACAAATGTTTTAATTAAAAAGAAGAAAGACCTACAATCAATACACTTTACCCTTTCACCTGGGAAATGGATTAATACACTGAATACAGACTTAGCAGAAGGAAGAATATGCAGATCAGATTAAAGGGAGTAAAGATCAGAAACACAGTAGATCTGAAACAAAGATGGCCTTTTAAAGATGTACAAAATGGACAGACACTTAGCTAGACTGAAAGAGTTTTTTTAAAGAGAGATATCACTAGGTATACAAACCATACTTCAGGCCAAGCCCCTTGTCCAGCAGTAAGATGAGCAACATAAAACAAACTCAATAGTAATTTTGGAGGTTTTTGTTGCTTAGGGTTTTTTGGCTCATATTACTTTGTTTGGTCATTTTTTATGGTTTCTGATTTTGTGTTTTAATGGGTTTTATTCTCCATTCCACCTCTTTTCTCCCTTCTTCCCTTCTCGCTCTCCTCT